GGAATCTACTGCCACAAACTCTACCCTCCAGGGGCTAAAGGGGCTGGAAGGCAGGGCAGAGGCCAGGTTCTCTTTTGAATATTTTTCTACTGCCCAGGCAGCTTTTCTGGGAGCTTTCCCCTCACCCCCCAGCTTATTGGTAGTGTCTCTGATCCCCAGTGAGATGGTCTGCTGCTGCCTGGGGCCAGGCTGAGAAACAGTGCTGGGAGTGCCAGCACCGGGTTCAAAAGATTTAAATCTTTTTTTCAACGCTTTCTTCTGGTGTCCTGCTATCCTTTCCCACCAGAGGCAGTGCCTTTTGGCACCCTTCAACTTAGTTCCTGAGTGTTCAGACCCCTTAGCATGCAGCTGCATCAATGCCTTGTACATATAAAATCTTTTATATATTTTGTCTTTGACAGGTCAACTTCAAGATTGTAATAATGATCCAGGAAAACCACTAAAAGGCCAGATTGTGTTATATTAAACCATCTTTCTCTTAGACAAGAGTTTCACTATTGGTGGCTCCTGCAGCCAAGACCTTTTTTGCTCAAGAGACTACAGGTAAGATCAATGCAGCATAGCCCATGTCTTTTTTTTTTTCAAGACTATCTAGAAAACTTTATTGTCTATTTACAGAAGAAAATCATGCATATCATTAAACAAAACAAATAAAATGCTTTCTATCGCAACTCAATACATTGTCATTTTCTAAAGCCATATCATAGAAGTAAAACAGGTTTTTTTTTTTGTTGTTGTTGTTTTTTGTACTGTGGATAAAATCCAGGGGTGCTCCAACATTGAGCTACATCCTCAGTCTTTTTATTCATTTATTTATTTATTTGTAGATAGATACGGTCTAGCTAAATTGTTGAGGCTGGCCTTGAACTTGCCATCCTCCTGCCTCAGCCTCCCACATTGCTGTGATTACAGTCCTGTACCACTGTGCCCAGCAAGACATGGACATTTACAACAATGTGGTTGAGAATCCTTTAAAAGATTTAAACACTCATCATTCGAGGTGTAATACTCATAGACATAAGTTCCTGAAATAACAGCTTGCTCGCATAAGGTATTCGCACCAAAGAAATCTGGGTTTTATTGTGGCAGCCCCTGCATTCATATGTATGGGTCCTGGTGTTAGCAATTGCCATTATTCCACAAAGATTGCAAACATGAACCTGATATGGATCTGATGCCTCAAACAATCTTTCTCTTAAAAACTGGGCCGCACCATGGGCAGTCTGACAATCTCGTTCCATTTCTCCAAAACGCAGGCCACCATCATGAGATCTCCCCTTCATGGGCTGTCTATTTAGGATCTGAATAGGTCCCCTAGCACGAGAATGAATTTTGTCATCCACCATATGTTTCAAA